AACTCACCCCAACCAATTTACAACCCCACTCAAGCTGTGGCAGCAGTTTTTGCATATGAATGCCCTGTCCTTTCTCAGCCTAAAACCTGTCAAACAGGCAGCAGCATCAGCATGCCCTGCTACATACCTGGGCCTCATCTGGGCACTTCCAAACCCGATACAAAGAGGAGGAACCTGCAGATCTCTCTGTAGTTCCTGCTGGGTGGCCCCAGGCAGTGGCTGACTTTGCACTTCCTTGGAGATCCAAGAGCCAGTGTACCCAGTGGTCAGTGTGAGACCATACCAGATTACTACTCTTCACATCCATAAGTTAACACTCAAGGGGCAGACTCAGTGAGCACCAAAGCCCCACTGAAGCAAGTCCTACTCCATAAGCTCTTCCATTGTAGACACAGCTGGTCCTCACAGCCAATTGGCCTGGAGGTCCATTCCTTCCAGTGATACCAATAGCAATCAAGGCTTAACTACAACAAGACTGCACACAGCCCACAAAGGGTTGCACCAAGAGTGTCTACCTCAGATGACTGGGGAGGCTGAGCCACTGGTCCCTATAAAACACCTACCACACAAGGCCATTCTATCAATTCAAGGAGACTTACCAGCTACCCAATACATAGAAACAAACGCAGGGAAGCAGCCAAAATGTGGAGACAAAGAAAGATGTCACAAATAAAAGAAATGGATGAAAGCAAAATACTGGATATAGAGTTCAAAACCAGAGTTATAAAGTTACTCAAGAATCTTCTAAAAACCTCTAAGGAACTTAGTGAGACATTCAAGGATCTTAGTGAGAATGCCAAAAAAAAAAAAAAAAAAAAAAAAAAGGAAAAGGACCAGTCAGAAATTAAGCATATACAGAGATTCAACAGTAGACTAGAGGATCCCAAGAATCAAATCAAAGATTTGAAGTACAAAGAAGTAAAAAACACCCAACTGGAAGAGCAAAAAAAAAAAAAAAAAAAGAATCCAAAAAATGAATATAGTGTAAAGAGCCTCTGGGACAACTTCAAGCATACCAACATCTGAATTATAGGGGTGTCAGAAGAAGAGAGAGACCAAGATATTGAAAACCTATTTGAAGAAATAATGACAGAAAATTTCCCTACCTGGTGAAAGAAATAGACTTACAAGTCCAGGAAGTGCAGAGAACCCCAAACAAAAGGAATCCAAAGAGGACCACACCATGACAAATCATAATTAAAATGCTAAGGGCAAAAGACAAAGAGAGAATCCTAAAAGCGGCAAGAGAAAAACAGTTAGTTACCTACAAGGACGTACCCATACGACTGTCAGCTGATTTCTCAACAGAAACTATGCAGGCCAGAAGGAAGTGGCAAGAAATATTCAAAGTGATGAATGCCAAGAACTACACCCAAGATTACTCTACCCAGCAAAGCTATCATTCAGAATTGAAGGTCAGATAAAGAGCTTCACAGACAAGAAAATGCTAAAGGAGTTCATCACCACCAAACCAGGATTATATGAAATGCTGAAGGGTATTCTTTAAGAAGAGGAAGAAGAAGAAAAAGGTAAAGATAAAAAGTTATGAACAACAAAGTGACAACAATTACATATCTATCAACAAGTGAATCTAAAAATCAAATGAATAAAAAATCTGATGAACAGAACAAACTGGTGAATGTAATAGAATCAGGGGCATGGAAAGGGAGCAGACTGATGATTCTTGGGGGGAAGGGGGTCTGGGGCGTGTGGGAAGAGATTGGACAAAAATCGTACACCTACGAACGAGGACAGTGGGGGGGGGTTGGCGGGGGCGTAGGGTGGGGTGGGAACCAGGTGGAGGGGAGCTATGGGGGGAAAAAAGAGGAACATCTGTAATAATCTGAACAATAAAGATTTTTTTAAAAAACAACCCCAAAAAAAACTTTAAAAAAAAGAAGTTGGTTATTATACTTACTGTCCTAATCTTGTGGTAAAGGTAGTCTTAAGAGTTTGCAAGTACTTCAGATTTACAAAACGGAATGAAAGAGAACATTATACAACCATCCTGCTGTGCCTTTAGTGCAATACAATAAAACTCTGAAATCAAGACTTACTTTCAGTGCATTGTTTTAAAGTTTACAGATAGCAATTTCATGAACTTGCTTAATCCACAATAAAGACATATTACTGTCAATTAAAATAAGAAGAAGAAATCAATATGGAATTGACTAAATAGTATATAAAAGCAATGGCTACACCACCCTTTAGAGGAGACAGAGCTTTGGCTATGAATCCTGTCTCCTTTACTTGTTACAAGTAAATAAAACTACTTTGCAACAACCATGTCTTGTTCTTGAATGGAACACGCCAAGTGGCAAACCCTTGAGTTTGGTAACAAATTTGGTGATTCAGATGGAACTCTCCTAAGTGACTCGCTCTCCGCCTGGTATGGATGCTTGGTGAAGCAGTCAGCAGTGGCAGCTCATCTGGGGTTTACTTGCTTGCGTCTCCACTGGACAGAGGGTCTGTTCTTTAGGAGACTCCCACTTGGTACTGACCATGGGAGTGGTTGCCTGGCCCTCCTCGACAGTGAAGTGGAGTGGCCATCTGAACCTGCTTTTTCAGGACTTCAGAAGGGAGGTGGGTAGGTCAGCCCCTGTGGCCACTTTAATTGGTGTTTCTATTCCCATTTTGGTCATGTCCTGGTAAATGATTACATATGGATACATTAAAAAAATAAGAAGAGTGAGGTTTTTTCCCTTTTAACTTGAATATTACCCCTGTATATTGCATTGAATGAAAGATTTCCCATGTTTCCATCAGAGTAATATACCTGCTTTAATTCTTAAGCATAAGCAAATCCTATATAATAAAAGGTTAATATGCAAATAGACTGAACAGTGGAGCAACCGAACAGCCAAACAACCGAACAACCGGTCGCTATGATGTGTGCTAACCACCAGTTAGTTTTGGTTCTGGGTCACTTGGTTTCTGGTTGGTCAGACAGGAACTGCCTCCAGGATGCCGAAATAAGGGACCAAACTATATCTTAGTCTGGAGGGTTGCGGAATGCCTGCAGGACAATCCAAGACATCCTTGAGTGACAACCCCTGGTCTGGTACTCTTTGTGCATTGGCCTTGTTTGTCTTATATGTCAATGTGCCGGCTATGGGAAACTCAAATTTGATCCGTAAATGCAGCTCCCTGGAGTGCATTCTTCAGGGCTGGATAAAAAGAGCCATTTATTTGACTTAAAGAAATTAAACTCCGGCAGAAATGAAGAAATATAACAAATGTCAATGGCATGAAACTGCCTGTCTTGTCCCAGGCACCCTTGCACCAAGCTGGGTTTGGGAGGCATTGTTTTCTAACTGTAGCTTCTTTGCTTCCTCAGGTTTCAGCATTTACTAACCATACACAGCTTTTCCCCTGAAACTCCACTCTGCTTCCCCCAAGGAATGCACTTTCTGGAGCACCCGCAGCCAGTATGGAAGTCATGATGGGAAATGGACCTGGCACCCCAACAACCTGAACAACCACGAGGTTCCCATCAGACAGGCGCACCACCTTCACCAAGGAAAACAAGCAAGTGAGCTCATGGTTTCCAGAGGAAGTGATCTGAGACCAGCAAGACTGGGTGTCAAAGGTTTGGCTGTGGGACTCAGGGGCCAGTCTATCTAATGGTGTAAAAATATATGCTTGGGGTTCTATGGGAAGAATTACTAGTTTTATCTATGAGCTGTTTAAATAAGATTCCCACTGCTTCTCTTCAATTTTTCTTCAGTGATTTATAATTTTCTGAGCACAGGACTTTTACATCCTTGGTTAAATTTATTCCTAGGTATTATTCTTTTTGAAGCAATTGTAAATGGGATTGTTTTCGTAGTTTCCCTTTCTGATAGAACACTGCTGGTGTAGAAAAATGCACTGATTTCTGGATATTTATTTTGTATCCTGCTACATTGCCGAATTCGTTTATTAACGAAAGGAGTTTTACTTCCTCCTTTCCAATTTGGGTGCCTTTTATTTCTTCTTCCTGTGGCTAGGACTTCCAGTACTGTGTTGAATAAGAATGGTGAAAGTGGACATCCCTGTTTTGTTCCCAAACTTAAGGGACACACTTTTAGGTTTTGCCCATTGATATGATGATGTTGGCTGTGGATTTGTCATATATGGCCTTTATTACATTAAGGTATGTTCCCCCTATTCCCTCTTCACTGAGAGTTTTTATTATAAATTGGTGCTGAATTTTATAAAATGCTTTCTCTGCATCTATTAATATGATCCTGTGGTTTTTAATCCTTCATTTTGTTTATGTGGTGTATCACATTAATTGATTTGCAGATATTATACCAACCTTGCATCCCCATAAATAGAACATAATATTAAAACCAAGAAAATGACATTGGTACAATCCATAGAGCTTACTCAGAGTTCACCAGTTATACATGCACTGTGTGTGTGTGTGTGTGTGTGTGTAGCTCTATGCATTTTTTTATGTGCTTTTTTGTACATAAACTATACTCTGTTCTACCATTTTTAATCCTCACCTAAGGATATGTTTTATTGACTTTAGAGAGAGAGGAAGTGAGAAAGAGAGAGTAAAACATCCATCAGCGGCCTCCCGCATGCGCCCCAACTGGGCACCAAACATGCAACCCAGGTATGTGCCCCGGCCAGCAACCAAACCAGCAACATTTTGGTGTATGGGATGATGCTCCAACCAACTGAGCCACTTGGCCAAGGCTGTTCTATCAATTTTAAATATGAAGTCAGATGATGAGAATGAATAAAATGACTTCCTTCAATAAATCATTATCTACCAACAATTACGTGCATGACCAGTTTTCCATATTTAGTTGTAATTAAGAAAGAAAAGGAAGAAATCCTACAAACCTCAGCTCTTGGGAGCACTGGTCCATGCTACATGCCTTTATAGGAATATTTTCTGGAGCTGATGATAGGCATGAAACAGGGGAACCTGATTTATTGATAATTATGGCAGCAACAGTCTCTCATGTCAGAAACCTCTATCGGTAAAAGGAAGGTGATCTTACCTTGCCTTCATATTTAGTCTTGTCATCTTCCTTTACCAGGGAGTCCAAATTTGTCTCTGCATAAGGTTCCACAGATGTTTTCTGAAGAGGAGCTAAAGGGACAGAGAAAACTGACCATTAATTTGGTGATTTGGTTTATTAACTCAGTGCTTAGCCTGAACAAGCAGCTGGACTGTGTTGAGGCAGTTGATAAGCAAAGCTAAACTGAGTTGCTGTGATGGTTTCTGAGGTGGTAGGTAAACGTGGAGATGAAGGAGAGATGCAAACGTGGAATAGAGTCCTTGACTCCAGGCACTTGACATTGATCTGAAGAGACAAAGTCACATCCAACACCACTCGAAACATCCAACCACAACAAATCAGTAAATGATGTGATGTGGTAAAAACCATAGCTTCGAGAACCAAGATGGCGGCATAGGTTAACGCCGGAGTTTGCTGCTTTGAACAACTACTTCAAAAGTGAAACCAAAAAACGGAAGGGACATCACCCAGAACCACAGGAACGCTGGCTGAGTGGAAGTCCTACAACTAGGAGGAAAGAGAAACGCATACGGACACTCAGAGGAGGCGCAGTGCTGAAGTCAAATTCTGAGGTGCGGAGTGCGTGGAGCGGGCTGGCGGCGGAGGGCGCGGTTGGCGTTTTCAATCGGGAGGGAGTCGCAGAATCTGAGCTCCAGATCCGGGTGAGTCTTTAGGGACCCAGACTCAAACGGGAGAAGCGGGACTGTCTGGCTTCGGTCAGAGCGAGTGCAGCTTTCTCTCTGAGCTTTGCAGCGGGTGCTGGGACTCAGAGAGGCAGAGCCCCTGGGGACAAGACTGAGAGCCGCAATAACTGCTCTCTCCGGCCCACCCTGTTGATCCTTTGTGACCCACCCCGCCCAAGCCCGGCACAGAGGCATTTGCCGGATAGCCTCAGGCAAAGGCTAGATTAGCACCTCCCTAGAGGACAGAAGTTCTCTCACTGCTGACACAGCTGATTCTCATAGCCACTTGGCCTGGAGGTCAAACCCTCCCTGGAATTAGCTACAACAATCAAGATTTAACTATAAGACTGCGAACAAAGACCACTAGGGGGTGCACCAAGGAAGCATAACAAAATGCGGAGACAAAGAAACAGGACAAAATTGTCAATGGAAGATATAGAGTTCAGAACCACACTTGTAAGGTCTCTCAAGAACTGTTTAGAAGCCGCCGATAAACTTAATGAGATCTACAAGAAAACTAATGAGACCCTCGATCTTATATTGGGGAACCAACTAGAAATTAAGCATACACGGACTGAAATAACGAATATTATACAGACCCCCGACAGCAGACCAGAGGAGCGCAAGAATCAAGTCAATGATTTGAAATGCGAGGAAGCAAAAAACACCCAACCGGAAAAGCAAAATGAAAAAAGAATCCAAAAATGCGAGGATAATGTAAGGAGCCTCTGGGACAGCTTCAAGCGTACCAACATCAGAATTATAGGGGTGCCAGAAGATGAGAGAGAGCAAGATATTGAAAACCTATTTGAAGAAATAATGACAGAAAACTTCCCCCACCTGGTGAAAGAAATGGACTTACAGGTCCAAGAAGCGCGGAGAACCCCAAACAAAAGGAATCCAAAGAGGACCACACCAAGACACATCATAATTAAAATGCCAAGAGCAAAAGATAAAGAGAGAATCTTAAAAACAGCAAGAGAAAGAAACTCAGTTACCTACAAGGGAATACCCATACGACTGTCAGCTGATCTCTCAACAGAAACTTTGCAGGCCAGAAGGGAGTGGCAAGAAATATTCAAAGTGATGAATACCAAGAACCTACAACCAAGATTACTTTATCCAGCAAAGCTATCATTCAGAATTGAAGGTCAGATAAAGAGCTTCACAGATAAGGAAAAGCTAAAGGAGTTCATCACCACCAAACCAGGATTATATGAAATGCTGAAAGGTATCCTTTAAGAAGAGGAAGAGGAAGAAAAAGGTAAAGATACAAATTATGAACAACAAATATGCATCTATCAACAAGTGAATCTAAGAATCAAGTGAATAAATAATCTGATGAACAGAATGAACTGGTGATTATAATAGAATCAGGGACATAGAAAGGGAATGGACTGACTATTCCTGGGGGGGAAAGGGGTGTGGGAGATTCGGGAAGAGACTGGACAAAAATCGTGCACCTATGGATGAGGACAGTGGGTGGGGAGTGAGGGCGGAGGGTGGGGCGGGAACTGGGAGGAGGGGAGTTATGGGGGGGGAAAGAGGAACAAATTTAATAATCTGAACAATAAAGATTTAATTAAAAAAAAAACAAGAAAAAAAAAACCATAGCTTCCACCATTCCTATTTGTAAGGCCAGCGAAAGTAGTACTTTCTTTATGAAATCTTCCTTGACTTTCAAACTTCACAAATTCCTTTATGCACTGCTGCTTGAGCATTTACATTTGTACTGTATTTGATGTTATTTTTGGATTTGAAAAGCTGATTCAAGTCTAGGTATCACATACTACTGAATATATTTTGCCATTGTACAGGCAATTAATTTGTGCTCATTATAGAAAATTTGAATAATACTAAAATTGTACTATTCTTGACCACTACCACTTGGTATATTTCCTTATAATCTTCTTTGAAATGCTCTTGCTTTCTCTCTTTGCGCACACACACACACACACACACACGCACACACGCACACACTCATTCATTCATACTATGATTTTGTGCGGGGATGTCCACGCATGCCTTAGCCAGAAGGAGTTGTTGCTAATGTGATGATCTAGCAGCTGGATTCCAGAAAAGATGGAATCACACTTATTAGTGGATAATATGACCGTGGGCAGAACCGGTGGCTGAGTCAGGAGGGAATTGGGCTTCCTTGCTCTTGCTTTCTTCTCTCTGTCACTCTATTTCCCTCTCCCCTTCTCACTGGCTTCTCAGACATCTGGGAGATAACTTTTTTTCAGGCTCCATGGCCACTGGCAGTAAGATTGGAACTTACTGAGAGGGATGCATTGGGGGTGATGGCTACAAGGCTAATATGTAAGTGGTACTTTCATTCTTATTTATCAGCGTCACTACCTTGTACCTATAGTTCCCTTGAGAAACTCAGAGGATACAGGTGATTAACCTGGGACAGGATTTAAGCATCTCTAGGTCCCATGGCCAGAATGCCATCCATCTAACGTCACAGTTATATCATCCTGATTCTTATCTGTGGTGGCCTAGATGGAGGTTGACCATCTAACTTTCAGAAGCCCTTTGCTACCCTCCGGTTCTGTGAGCCAACTGGAAGCAGCTTGGCCTTGCTATGGGTTTTTCATGGAGGTCATATTGAAATATGAAGTGAAGTACATGTTTGCTGTCCCAGGTTATATGACCACTGAAGCTACTCGACAACAATGGGCAATCCTCTGGGCTCCTCCCTTACATTCTTCAGGATCTCTGTAAGCTGAGAGATTCCAGGTATGACAACTGCTAGAAATGCATTCACTATAATTGGCAAAACCCATGACTGAGAAGCGCCTGCTCTTAACACTATTAAGTACAGTGACAAAATTAGAGGCAGGGATGTGGGAGCCATACTGCCATCATTTAAGTCTTGTTCTTTCATCTACGAGATACACATTATGGAGGAATCTTTGTGCCTTAGCTTCTTCAACCAGAAAGTAGGGGATAATGAGAAAGCCTATTGGATCAAGTCACTAGGAGGCTTTAATGCAGCCATGGGCAAATTACGGCCCGCAGGCCAGATCGGGCCCATTTGAAATGAATAAAACTAAAAAAAAAAAAAAGGACCGTACCCTTTTATGTAATGATGTTTACTTTGAATTTATATTAGTTCACACAAACACTCCATTCATGCTTTTGTTCCGGCCCTCCGGTCCAGTTTAAGAACCCATTGTGGCCCTCGAGTCAAAAAGTTTGCCCGCCCCTGCTTTAATGAGTTAATATGTACAAAGTGTGTAGATCATGGTAATCACTCAGTACATTTTAGCTATTATCATAGCTACATGGCATTAAAAATATTTTTCCACATTCCTTGTTTAATTTCAGAGAGGTTAAATGTGGTACCCAAGACAACCAGCTAACAAGAGTCAGACCTGGCCTTTCAGCTCCCATCGCTAAGCTCCCTGCTATGTTCCTTACACTGTGAAATGAGTTTATCTTGGCACAGACTCAGTTGCTAAGGAATCGGACAAATGTGTTTGAAAATCCTGTGAGCGACCTGCCTGGGTAGAGTCCACACTCAGTAATTACTCTCCAAAACAAAAGCAGAGGATTGTTCTGCAGAAGGAGCGCGTCGGTGGACCAAGGTCAGTGGTACCCGTTCAGACATGATGAATCTCTATTTACCTAAGTAGGGTCATTACCTATTTTGAAATCATGTATTTGAAAAGCTGAGAAATAATCCATTATTCCTGCTTTGTTTATTTGTAACAAACACATATCCCTTAAAATAAGGAGAGAGGCAAAGTGGTGGAGGCTAAGTTATTTACCTCTAATAATTAAGAAGTAAACATAATTTACTTTTGGCAAAGAGCCCTAGATGAGAGATCAGGAGAATCAAGTCCTGTTTCCAGCCATCCAAGAGGGATGTCTCCATGGGTGCCAGTGTTTGTGCGTATCTGAGTATGCATGTTGAGTGTGTTATGTATGTGTGTGTGTATGGAAAATTCAGGAAAGAAATGCACTAAACTATTTACAAGGCTTACTTCTAAAAAACTGGAATATCTGAGACAGTTGTACTAAATGGAGAATTATCAAAAGATCCCATAATTTTCAGATAACTAACAAATGAAAGAATTGGTTGCAAATAACGCTGCACAACAAGAAATGCTAAAAGAATTTTTTCAACTTGAAGTGAAATGACACAAGACGGTAATTCAGTTAAAGGAATAAAGAACACTTAAAATGGTGACTAGGATGGTAAATATAAAATAATATATATATTTTTTCCTTTCTCTTGATTTCTTTAAAAGATACATAATTGCTTATAACAAAAATTTATAACACAATATTGGGGAATTTAACATATGTAGTTGCAAGATTTATGATAAGAATAGCACAAAGGATGGGTGGGAGGTGTGTGAAACTATACTGCTGCAAGTTTCCTATATTTTACTACAACATTAACTCAAAGTAGATTGACACAAATTAAGGATGCATATGATAATACCTAAGAGAAGCATCTGGGGAAAAACAGTGCAAAGATGTACGTATGCTAAAAAGTCAATAGAAGGATTAAAAAGGAAGACTACAAGAATTTGCTAACCCAAAAGTAAGTAGGAAAAGAAGAAGAGAGAAATAAATAAAACATGAGGCAAGTAGACCACAAATAACAAAATAGTAGCTCTAAATCCAACTGTGTCCTTAATTACATTGTATATAAATAGACTAAACACTCCAATTAGAAGGCAGAGGTTAACAGAATGTATTAAAAAAAGCAAGATCCAACTATATGCTGCCTACAAGAAGTATACTTTAAAAAGAAAAACAAATAGAAGAATGGAAAAAGTGTCTCATGCAAACACTAAGCATAAGAAAGCTGGGATGGCTGTATTAATAGACTTTAAGACAAATAGCTTTACTAAAGATGAGGAAGAAAGGAGAGACGTTTTATAATTATAAAAGGGCCAGTATATCAGGAAGATAAAACAACTATGAGTGTGCATTTTCTTTTTTTTTCTTTTTTTAAATACAGTTTATTGATTTTTTTACAGAGTGGAAGGGAGAGGGACAGAGAGTTAGAAACATCGATGAGAGAGAAACATCGATCAGCTGCCTCCTGCACATTCCCTACTGGGTATGTGCCCACAACCAAGGTACATGCCCTTGACCGGAATCGAACCTGGGACCCTTGAGTCCGTAGGCCAATGCTCTATCCACTGAGCCAAACCGGTTAGGGCTAAATGTGCATTTTCTTAATAACGGCATTTCAAAATAATAATGGATATGCATCATTTCCAAGAGTGGTTTCTCCCAGAATGTATGATTGTTTTAACACTTCAAAACAATCACTGTAATCCACCATATTAACAAAAAGGGAGGAAATCATATAATCATCTCAATATATAGCACCAAAAAAAGCATCTGAAAAATTTGACAATCATTCATGATGAAAACTTTCATCAAACTAAAAATGGAAGGGATTGTCCTCAACCTGATAAAAAGTATCTATAAAAAACTTACTAACATCATACTTTAAGTGAAACATGAATTCTTTCTCTTAATATTAGGAAAATGCAGCAATGGCTGCTCTTACCACTTCTATTCAACATTGTACTGGAGGTCCTAGCCATTAAAATAAGACATGGGGGGGGGGGGGGGAGTCATAGAGATTGAAATAGAAGAAGTAAAATTGTCTCTTTCATAGATAATATGATTGTATTTTCATTTAGAAATATATTCCTATTAAGAGTTATATATGGTAATTCTATTTACTATAGGGTTAAAAAACATTAAATTCATAAGATCTTTTCATTACAAACTACTATGTTGCCAAGAGAAATTAAAGAGGACCTAAATAAATGGAGAATTATATAATATTTATGAAATTGGAAGACTCAATATTGGTTCTCCCCAAAGTGATCTATATAATTAATGCAATCTCAATCATAATCCCAGCAGAAATCAAAAGGGGATTCTAAGATGTATATGGAAATGAAAAGATCCTAAAATGGCTTTAAAAATCTTGAAAAAGAACAGAGTTGGAAGACCTACACTACCTGATCTCAAGGTTTAGTAATAAACTATAGTAAGACCATGTGGAAGAATAAACTCAAAATGGATAAAAGACTTATCTGTAAGCCACAGAACCATAAAAGTCCTAGAAGAAAGCACAGAGAGTAAAATCTCAGACATCTCTCATAGCAATATTTTGTTGACATATCTCCTTGGGCAAGGGAAACAAAGAAAAAAATAAGCAAATGGGATTACATCAAACTAAAAAGGGTTTGCACAGCAAAAGAAACCATCAACAAAATGAAGACAATGCACTGAATGAGAGAGCATATTCGTCAGTGATACATCTGATAAGGGGTTAATTTCCAAAATATATAAACAACTTATACAACTCCACACCAGGAAGACAAAACAACCAATTAAAAAATTGGCAAAGGACCTGAATAGACACTTCTCCAAAGAGGACATACAGATGGCCAACAGACATGCGAAAAAATGCTCAATGTCACTAATAATCAGAGATATGCAAATTAAAACCATGATGAGATATCATCTTACACCTGCCAGAATGGCTATCACCAATAAGTCAACAAACAAGTCTTGGTGAGGATGTAGAGAAAAGGGAACTCTAACATACTGCTGGTAGGAATGCAGACTGATGCAGCCACTGTGGAAAACAGTATGGAGTTACCACAAAATATTAGATAGAAATGCCTTTGAACCAGTGATCCCATTTCTGGGAAAATATCCTAAGAAACCCAAAACACAAATGCATCCCTATGTTCATTGCAGCATTATTTACAATAGCCAAGATCTGGAAATAGCCCAAGTACCCATCAGCAGATGAGTGATTAAAAAAAAAGCTGTGGCCCTAGCTGGTTTGGCTCAGTGGATAGAGCATTGGCCTGTGGACTGGAGGGTCCCAGGTTTGATTCTGGTCAAGGGCACATGCCCTGGTTGTGGGCTCCATCCCCAGTCGGGGGGGAGGGGGGGGGAGGCAGCCAATCAGTGATTCTCTTCATTGATGTTTCTATCTTTCTCTCCCTCTCCCTTCCTCTCTGAAATCAATTTAAAATATATATATTTTAAAAGCTGTGGTACAGTTACCCAATGGAATACTATGCGGCTATAAAGAATAAGGAACTCTTACCTTTTGTGGCAGCATGAATGAACCTGGAAATTATTATGCTAAGTTAAATAAACCAGTCAGAGAAAGATAAATGCCATATGATCTCATTTACATGTGGAATCTAATGAACAAAATAAACCAATAACCAAATAGAAACAGAGGCATGGTTACATGGAACAGACTGACAACTGTCAGAGGTGAAGAGGGTGAGGGATTGGATGAAAGAAAGTGAAGGGGTTAACCATAGACACAGACAACAGTGTGGTGATAGCCAGAGGCTAGGTGGAGGTGGGCAAAGTTGGGGGGAATTGGGAGGGAAAGAGACTTTGCTTCGGGCAATGAGCACACGATGCAACGTGCAAACGATGTTTTATTGAATTGTACACTTGGGACCTGTATGGTTTTGCGAACCCCAATATATTAAATTAAAAAAAAACTTATGTGGCATTATAACAAGGGCTTATCTATTTCTTTAATCTTTTCAAAGAACCAACTTTACCACTCCATTGCTAATAGAATCTGGTGGGACTTTCAAAGGTCCTTAATGGAGTCTATTTATGCAGATGTTACTTGCGCATTTATATTATTCCTCTGCTAGACTATGAGCTTCTCCTTGCATCTAGGCACTTAGTTTTATCAAACTTTATAAGTTCCTCAATGCCTGTAGTATTTTATATCTGTGGTTTATTTTAAATACTATCTGTCAAAACAACAACCACTGTTCATCTTAAAACAACCACAATGTCTACCCTCATGAAACAAAGCTATAAAGCTTCCTTCCCCAAACAACCTACCCACGGCGGAAGGCTGGCTGGTTTTTGGTGACACCCATTTTGGGGAGGACTCAGGATGGGGGGCCACAGGTTGAACTGGACGAGTCTGTCTGGCTGCCAGTTTCATCAGACTCACTTGCCTCTTGTGAAAAATTTCCTGTACATCTCCCAGCTTCTGTAGGACTTTCTGGGCGTTGGCCTGCAGGAACAAAAGCAAATCATGAGATTGCTCTGCACTGAGCCTGAGGACATGACTCATTCCCTTTCATCCATCTCCCCTTTCCCCACGCCCAACCTTCCTCATAGGCAAGTCATCCATGTGTCACATTGCACCAGAATGTGCTTCTAGGAGTCTGAACCTCCCATTGATTGGCAACGACTGTGTTTCACTACTGCATCTCCAGAGCAGAGTAGTACTCGCCAAATATATGGTAAGTGGATAAATGTTCACTCAGCCCTGTCTGAGTGATGCCATAGGCCATGGACGAAGGGCATTAGGACAACTTACAGAACAGGGGAATTTAAAAATAAAGAATGTACCCTGAATAAAGGCCTTGATGGCTAAAAGAGTTTAAGTGTTCTGGGGCAAAGAATTGGGTAAGTTCTGAAACAAAATCAAGAAAATCACAAGCGATTAGTAGAGGTCCGAAGATGGCAGCAATCTAGGCAGACGCGTCCCAGGTCGTGTCCTGGAGCAAATGGAGTGAGCAGCTGAAACTAATAACAACCACTCCGAATTGGCGAAATTACTCAGCTGGTAAGACGGTTTGCAGCTGGGAAGGGCAGAACTCCCCTGGAAAGGTAAAAAAAAAAACCAGGGATTTGGGCAGGAAAGTTTGCCAGACCTCTGAGCCCAGAGGGTCGGAGGGAGACCGCGTGGCAGACAGCTGCGTCCCTTGGGACAGGCACAGCCCCTGACTGGGGAAAGGAGATCCTCGGGATTCCTGGCGCCAGGGGATTTGAGATCTGGGTTCTGTGATCACGGAGGACTGAGCCTAAAGGGGGCAGCCTGAAGAGCTGACCAGACCATGCAGTGCCAGTAAGAGAAGAGCTTACAGAAACTAAGCCTTCCCCATTTCCGCAGACGGCGTTTGTTTGTTTGTTTTCACTGAATCCTGTTCATAAGACATTGCGGATACAGACACTCACCTGTGCTGAAGAGAGGGAGAAGGTGCGGATGAGTGGAATCTGGGGAGAGACTGAGGAGAGAGGGGGGGCTGGGAGAGGTGGCAGTGAATTGAGTGCTGAGACACCCCTGGGCCCAGGATCCGGGCAGCCATTCTCTCCAGAGGGTGGGACTCCTCCACCTAGCCCCCAGGCAAGGAGCACAGCCACACCCAGATTCCACCCTGAACAAGCTCAAGGATTAAAATAATCTGATCAGTCCCTGGGAGTTAACAGGGTCTGGCCTATAGAGGGATTTTCAATCCCAGCAACAACACAGAGCGGGTAAGTATTAAGGAACCAGCTCTGGGCAGTGGGCTTCCCCAAACCAGTTTTAAGTGCAATAGAGACGATAAACCCAAGCTACTGGACAGAGAGGCCCTATAGCCTCAGAGGCCAACCCAAAAACACTGCCACCCAGAGGCTGAGCCACAAACTGACTCTTAGCTAATTACAAATTAAGGCAGCCTGGGACACAAATACGGCCTGCTTTAAAATCAGGACTGTGGTTTAAAACACGGAGGAACAGTGTATCGCAGGGAAATTCAACACTCTCCTGAACACCTGACAGGACTAAGGCGAGCCAGACTGACGAGTAGAAGAACCGAAGGACCTTCACTACTGCAAATTTTTTTTTTCTTCTTTTTTCTTTTTCCTTTTTTCACCTTTTAACTAAGAAACCAATTTTTTTTTCTTCTTTTTCCATCACCTGATTTTACCCTTTTAATTACTAAATTTTTATTTTTAACCAGTATTATTACTGCTACCATTTTTTAAAGTGCCATTTTATTTTCTCTTTATTTTATTTTGGGATTAGTGTTCTCCATTCTATTTTCATCGTTCCTTTAGCATCAATTTTCCCTATCTCAATTTTACCTCTATGTAAAACCCTCTTCCTCACTTTTCCCCTTTTGTTGTCCTGTTTCTCTTATCCTATTCCTGCTTTAGATTTTCCCTATTCCTTCTGTTTAACTCCTGTCAAAATTTCACCCTACTTATATATCCTATTTCCAATCCACTGCTCTAAATCCTTATACACATATCCCTTATCTTTCTTCACTATCCAAATTATTTTTTCTTCTTTTATCTTTCTATTGTTTTGTTGCTGTTTGCTTGATTGTTGAGTATATTGTTTTGTTGTTGTTGTTGTTTTTTGTGTGTGTGTCTGTGTGTGTGTGTGTGTTTTTTAGGACTGGTTGTGAGGCTGTTTTTCTTTTTCTTTTTCTTTTTTTTCTGCTGGTTTTTCCCCTCCCTCCACCTCAACCCCCCCCCCCCCCGGTTATTTTTGTGCTTCTGTTTTCCCTTGCCTCTCTTGATATTATTGGTTGTTTCTAGTTTGCATTCATCTCCAGGGAGCTGTTGCTGGAATTTGTTGGGATTAGTGGTGGTTCTATAGGAGTTTTCTCCTCATATACATAGTCTCTTCCCCTCTTCTACTTCATTCTCTCTTGTTGCTCTTTTTTTTTCTTTTCTTTTCTCTTTTTTTTCTCCTTTCCCCCTCCTTTTTCCCAATTTCATTTTTGCACTCCTTTTTTTTCTTCCCTACTTTTCTTTTCTTTTCTTTTTTCTCTTTTATCTTTTTCTCTTCTTTCTTCCTTATCCCCTAATTCTCTTAATTCGGGTGGTCACCTTTATTTGGGGTTATTAATATCGTGAATATATTTGTGTTTAGTGCCTGGTACGTGTGCCTTGTTGTGTTGTACTTTGTGCCTTTAAATCAACGCAGCAGATCCAAGCAACAGCAGCCTCCTGAGCACCACACCCTCTGTCTGAGGAACAGCAGCTGTACGTGAAGCCTCCCCCCACCAGCCAGAAGAGCCACCACAGCTGTGAACAGCACCCACCAGAGGAGCTGCTGCCAACTGAGGAGCAGCTGCTACCGCAACCACCCAAGGAGCAACCACAGCCCAAGGAGCCACTGCCACCCAGGGAGCAGCCACTGAACGACTCAATGTCTAGATATGTCAGTGAGATCAAACATGGGTAGACAAAGAAACCCCCAAAGGAAAGAGAAGGAGGACTCTCCAGAAAAGCAGCTAAGTAATACAGAGGCATGTAACATGACAGAAAAAGAATTCAGAATAAGGGTCTTAGAGTGCATAAACCGGATGGAGGAAAAAATCAACAACTTCTGAAAGAAGCTAGAAGAAACAGATGAAAAAGTCAACTACCTATGCAAGAAGCAAGAAGAAACAGATGAAAAAATCAATAACATACGGAAGAAGCTAGAAGAAACAGATGAAAAAATCAATAACTTAAGTAAGACCCAAGAAGAAATGAAGAGTGATATAGCTGCAATAAAACACCATTGAAAGTATCAACAGTAGACTAGGAGAAGCAGAGGACTGAATTAGTGAATTAGAAGACAAGGAAGCAAAACACACCCAAAATGTACTGCAATTGGAGAAAAAAATTAAAAGACAGGAGGAGAGCCTAAGGGAGCTTTGGGACAACATGAAACGAAACAACATACGAATAATAGGGGTGCCAGAACAACAGAAAGAGGAACAAGGATTAGAAAACCTATTGGAAGAAATAATATCAGAAAACTTCCCTGAGGTGGGGAAGAAAAAAGTCACACAAGCCCAGAGAGTCCCAAGCAAGGTGAACCCAAAAAGACCCACACCAAGACACATCATAATTACCATGGCAAATGTTCAGGACAAAAAGAGAATCTTACAGGCTGCAAGAGAGAGACGGAAAGTTACATACAAGGGATCTCCCATTAGATTATCAAATGATTTCTCAACAGAAACACATCAGGCCAGAAAAGAATGGATGGAAATTTACAAAGTGATGCAAAGCAAAGGACTGAATCCAAGAATACTCTATCCAGCAAGGCTATCATTCAAAATTGAAGGGGAAATAAGAAGCTTCACAGACAAAAAAAGGCTAAGGGAGTTTATCATCACCAAGCCAGCAATGCAAGGAATACTAAAGGGACTGGTGTAAAAAGAAGAAATATAAAGCTCAGAAAGAAAACAGCCACACAAAAATAGAAATGGCTACAAACAAGTACCTTTCAATAATAACTTTAAACGTAAACGGACTAAATGCTCCAATCAAAAGACATCGAGTGGCTGAATGGATAAAAAAACATGACCCATACATCTGCTGTCTATAAGAGACCCACCTCATTAGAAGGGACTCACACAGACTGAAAGTGAAAGGATGGAAAAATATCTTTCAGGCAAATGGAAAGGAAAAGAAAGCTGGGGTAGCAATACTTATATTGGACAAAATAGACCTCAAAGTGAAGGCCATAACAAGAGATAAGGAAGGCCACTGCATAATACTAAAGGGATCAATACAACAAGAAGATATAACCCTGGTAAACATATATGCACCCAATGCAGGAGCACCCAAATTCATAAAAAAACTCCTGGAAGATATCAAAGGAGAGATCGACAACAATACAATCATAGTAGGGGACTTTAATACACCACTGACAGCACTGGATAAGTCCTCTAGACAAACAATCAGCAAAGAAACAGCAATCCTAAATGACTCACTAGATCAGATAGACTTAATAGACATCTTCAGAACACTTCACCCCAAAGCCACGGAATATACATTCTACTCAAGTGCTCATAAGACATATTCAAAAATAGACCATATATTGGGTCACAAGCAAAGTATCCCCAAATTCAAGAAGATTGAAATCATAAAAAGCATCTTCTCAGACCACGATGGCATAATATTAGAAATAAACTACAATAAAAACAACCCAAAATACTCAAACACCTGGAAGCTGAATAGCATGTTATTAAATATTGATTGGGTTACCAATGAGATCAAAGAAGAAATTAAAAACATCCTGGAAACTAATGACAATGAAAACACAACAATCCAAAACCTATGGGACACAATGAAAGCAGTCCTGAGAGGGAAGTTTATAGCTCTACAGGCCTATCTCAACAAACAAGAAAAAATGGTAGTAAATCATCTAACTCTACAACTCAAAGAATTAGAAAGAGAGCAACAAGAAAACCCCAGAGTGAGCAGAAGGAAGGAGATAATAAAGATTAGAGCAGA